CCTGTTTCCACACTGTAGGGATTCTATGATTTTATAAACCTCTTCAAAAAAAAAGTTACCCTTCAGCCGCCGATGCTCCAGGGAGAACAGCTCCACCCTATTCAGCCTTGTCCTTTAGCATGTATTCTGTTTTCAGTAAAGACATCTGCAAATATGCACCTATAAACTGCAAAGAAGTGATGACTGATTCACTTTATCAATTTTCTATATTTCTGCCACTAACATTTCCCAGAACAGCAAAGGAAAACTTAAACTTGAAAACATTTTTTGGACTCTGATTGATTGACTACATGCTGGAGACTAGAATACCTGCACATCCTCTGCAAACAGACAACATCACTTTACTAGAGGGGTTTCTCGCTGTAAATGAAGGCAGTGTAACCATCGAGATGGATGGATTGGGAGGGCAGGAAACAGGAGCATCACAAGTTGACAGACATTTCAAGTAATGTTTCACACCGTTCCAAGTTACAGATGTTAATACCAGATGCACAGATGCCTTCAAAACAGTTCACAGCACAGCACCTCTGGCCTTAACTTAAAATGATGGATGTGTGGTGACACCACACATTTTGTATCACCGATTAATCAAACATTTTAAACAGCTTTGCCCAAAATTTTAAAATTTGTCCAGATGGGACATTCCTTTTTGCATGCTCTGAGAATCTTTAACATTTGTTTTTAAACATGGAGGAGGCTTCTGTAAACATTACCACACTCCTAGGAGCCCCAGACTTAAATTCCGAAAGACAGGGCCAAGTATCTAAAAGGAAAAAAAGCGAACACATTTTTCACAAGTTTCCAGCAGACAAAAATTTGATGTTAACACCTCAGATACAGAAATCTGATATCAACAGAGACAGAATTTGTTGACCTTGGAGATCCCCAGGATTCCCCTGTGACTCTTGAACTTGTGTCTAGGTTCTTAGCACTGCAACGTCAAACCTGACCCTGGTCACCCACACATCTGACTGAAATGGTGAAGACAGACCGAACAGACTGAATGCAGTTGGCCACCTTCCACAATCTCTTTGCTCTGCAGAAACACTCAAGTCTGACATGTCAATTTGCTCAGTAGTAGAGTGCACTTCTGAGACTTGAGCTCATCATCCAGGGTGACACTTTGTGAGCATACTGTACGTCAGTAGAAACACTGGGTGAAACCTTCAGCCCCTAAATGACCTCGCCATTAGGAAAGAAGTTAGGAAAACAGATTGAGACGGCCAGCAAGGAGCTTCTCAACATCAAGAGCCAAAAATCCCATTCTCCAACAAACTGTTGAACAGTGAGAGGTGTTTCCTGCTACTGAGTGTATTTATTAATATCTCATTACTTATCTTGTCACATTGACATGCAGATTCCCATTCTTCTACCTGCTGGATAGAAACTAGATGCTGATAATTTGCAATATGCAAGTCAGAGCTGGCACCTGGCAAATCCAGCTCGCTGCTTACCCTGCTGGACATTCAACTTGGACACCATGCACTAACATCTCAGTGCATCCTCCACGGGCAGTGACCCCATGCACCACCTGCCCATGGACCTTGGTATCCAACATGTGCCAGCCTCACTGCAACATCATGGCATATCTGCACTTTAACGCAGCACCCTAACAACTTGCATTGTAGTGCTGCATATAAAGGTCAGGCACCCATCTCATAGATTAGACTAGTGGGCACCTCAAGGGTGCTTGCTCACTCTGCGCCTATTGTGATGTGCACAGCATGCCTGCCTTGTCTTTTTGCACTTTGACCCTTCAGCCAGACCCTCAAACTTGAGTGATGCAAATGCTGACTGCTCACATTCATAAAGGACCTGTTCTGTTCCTGATATTCCCCGTGCAGGTTCACTGGAACCAGTGAATCCAGCCACTGAAGGGCTTATTGTCGCTGTTGCTGTGGTGCAGAGAAGGCACAGAGAAACGGAGGAGGAACTGATGCACCAGCAAGCCCAGGGCCAGCAGCATCCTCCAACAGAAGCTGAACAGTCTCTGCACAGAGGGATCACAGCTGAAGGTCCCCTCACGACGTGCAGTGGGTACAGGAGGACCAGAGTCAATTGTCCTTGATGCCATTTCCTCCAGACTTCCTTCTGCACAATCCTAGTGACCAGAGTAGGCAGAGAGGGAACGTGATAAACTCTGAAGAGCAGCAGTCTTCTGGGGTTGGAAGCTGAAGCCATTGAGCAGGAGAAACTTCATCTTCTGCACAACAGAACACGAGAGCAAGGTGCAACAAGCTAGACAGGATGTAACTGACAGCTGGCTCCAGCTGGGTGCAGTGATCACTCACTGACTGTAAATTTAGTGCTCCGCAAAAAGCACTGTTTGTTCCCACAGACAAGTGCAACTTCTGTCTTTTTATTTGCTCACTCTTGCAGTTACGGTTCCTGTATGTGACAGCCTCACATTGAACAATGAGAAGATGCCAGGTTACACTGAGCATTTGGGACTTAGAGTTGTAAGATGGGATGAGACGAAGGATGGGTAGATTGTATGGCAATAGATGTATAACTGTGCCCCGAGAAAGCAGTGGCTTGTGGTTTTCTCCCCCCACTCCGTCGCAACTACAGATGGCCAATTCTCGACCTGGTGCAGGGCTGGACTTTAAAGATGACACCAGCACCTACGGTATCCCAGCAGTGCTGAGTAATTATACCTATGGCGAGGGGGGAAAGAATGTGTCAAGTGGGGCACCACTGGGGACACGGTGCATTGGTAATGGAGGTACGTTTGGGAAGAGAGCGTGAGAAAACTCACCACGCCTCCAGGAAAGAAACCCTCCATGAAACTCAGAATTGACACTTCAATTTCTGCTGCAATTCACCCTGTTGTCTTTTGGATGTGGTGCTGGAATGAAAGACCCATTTGCTTGCTCAAGTAGCTTTCCAAATATAATTGAAAGAGCTGGGCATCCTCCCAGTGTCCTAGCAAGAAGTCAGTACATAATCAAGGCTACTAAAAATTTTCTCTGCTAATTTAGCCTATTTGTTTGATGGGACTGTGGCATGGGTAATTTGGTTCCCACATCTGCCTTCAAGGCAGTTTAGGATTCAAAAGTAAATTACCAGCTGCAAAATGCTTTGGAATATTTTGAAGCAAATGAAAGATGTTACAACATGCAAAAGTAGGAAGGGATGGTCTTGTGGCTCAGTAGGCAGCCATGCCTATGACCCACAAGCTGCAGCTTCAAGACTCATTACAGGACTTGATAGTATGTGATGTTAGTATCACCAGACTGGTTAAATTATCATCAACCTGCAAATCTTTCCGATATGATGGCAGGCAGCGAGAAGCAGTCTTTCCCGATCAGCCATGCTTGATGTAAAATGACATCACAAGAACACAAGAAATAGGAGCACAAGTGGACCCCCGTCCCACTATGGCTGGTTTTGGACTTCCTCCCTACTTTTTTCACCCATATCTCTCAATTCTCTACAACATCAAAAATCCATCTATCCCAGCAGAGTATGTACTCAATAATGGAAACTCCGCAACCCTCTGGAGAATTCTAAAGATTCACAACTCAGGGGGAAGGTATTTCTCAATCACCTCAGTGCTAAATGACCAGACTCCTATCTTGCGACAGTACCCATGTTTTAGATTAGCTAACCGACAGAAACACCCCCTCAGGTGTCCACCTGATTAATGTCCCTGCTGAATCCAGTGCTCCTCAAGTTTTATCCACTGGTTACAGGCAGGTGACCCGTCCCCGGAAGAGCTAGCTACAGAAACAGACATAGGTACGTGTTTTGTCTCCTTCATATGTAAATTGACACAGGAAACTGCTTAGTCTAAGTTTAATACTGTGGATCATTATTAAACATTATCACCTTCTTAGGCACGACTCCAAAATAATAACTCAAAGCTAAGTATCTAGAATATATTCAAGAATCAAAAAGAATAAGGAAGCAAACATTGAATGCGCATGTGGGATACAAGCTCAACTGTTGCCTCTGGGAATACAGAAATGACCTTAAAAAATGCGCAGTATTGCCTCAGAGTGATTAGAATACACTCGAGGTCACTTCCGTGAACCACAGGTCAACAGGTTACCACTGCAATGTCCGAGTGCAGTCAATATTTGTACAAGTCACAAAGATATTCAACATTCTGAGCACTGATGATTTCCTGAAGCAAGCTTAACTAGAAATAGACAGTGATAAGCCCAAATGATAATGTAGATTTTACAAGTACCTGATGGCACAATGATTTAAAAGTACTATATTGCAATCACATCAATTTAGATATCCTGTAATAAAAGATACGATTAGTATTGGCAATCTGGGAACTTCAAACGGTCTGAGCCAGGAATATAGATTTTACTGATTTTCTACTCGACCAGGTGCAGCGCTGGACTTTAAAGATGGCACCAGCACCTATGGTATCCCAGCAGTGCTGAGTAATTCTGCCCATGGCGAGGGGGAGAATGTGTCAAGTGGGGAACCACTGGGGACACGGTGCATTGGTAATGGAGGTACGTTTGGGAAGAGAGCGTGAGAAAACTCACCAAGCCTCAAGGAAAGAAACCCTCCATGAAACTCAGAATTGACACTTCAATTTCTGGTGCAATTCACCCTGTTGTCGTTTGGATGTGCATGGCTAATGAATCATCCAAAGATGGAGAGAAAGGGTTAGAAATGTGGCTCAGCGTGACACAATTGTCAACATTACAAAGAAACTGAATATTGGGTAGTTGATAAAATACCACCTGTTCCACATTCTAACCAAGAAAAACTCCACCTGAAGCTGATTTCCAGGTGACAACCAGTTACTAGACTCAAAGTTAACTATTTTTTCTATTCACAGATGCTGCCAGACTTGCTGAGTTTCTCCAACACTTTCTGGTTTTGTTTGAGAATCCAGGTAAGTGTTTTTAGGTTTTGCAGAAAACAATCTCCAAGGATGGGCTCAATGGGTTTAGCGAGAAAGGAGCTTAAATCAGGCAAGGGAGGCCCAAGGTGCACTGCCCATTTTGGGCTGCATTCGCTGATCTTGTCCATGACAGTAGCTGGCCCACAAGTCCGTGTGCCCGATGACAGCATTGAACTGGACCCTCAAGCTCCAGATAAATAATCGCCCTGAGCTGTGGAAATGTCCCCTAGAAAGGAATTAACATCTTCAGGGTAGAAGGATGCAGAAGACAAGCCATTAGATGAAACACACAGACTTTACAGAACCAGCTCAGTTGGATACAAAGGTCATTTGCCACTCCCTTTTCACAGGTCACCGCTACCTATTTCATACGCTGACCACATCCCTCAACTCCTCTTTCCAGAAACACATCCAAACATCACTTCAACTTGCGCATGACACTTATTTGCATGCAGGTACAGGACTATCTCACAAGATGATGGACTTCACCCAGTGTACATCACCCCAGATGGAACACATTATCGATTGTGGCTGTACAGGATGATTCATGAGTAGCTGTTCTTCAGCTGTCACACAGGAGTTATTTCTTTCCTTCCAATGGTCTCCCTTTTCAACCATCCGATTATTCTGCTTTTGCCGTACCCTTCCTGACTACTCGTCTCCAGGCATTGCAACAACACTAAAGACTTCCCGAATCGACAGCGTCTCAACCAAATCAACGGGTATCCTTGGACCAAGCCTACAGCTCACTTGTAAGTATTCTTGGACTGCATACCTGGAACAGCTGATGGCTCGTGCTAATAGAAATAGCTAACAGATATCGATGGATAATGCTGCATCCTATTCAGCTCATGGGACCCAGTCAAGCAAGTCACTGCTGACTGAATAAGGTACAGAGGCTGGAGACCCCTGGACACTTCCACGTGCAGCACTCGGTCTTGTCAGATGATGCTCAACATTCTGAAGCATCAACTGTTCATTACTTAAGCAGCAAGTCATTCTTATGCCATCTCTTTATTCCAACAACATCTACAGGCACCAGTAGTTCACTACACATTTTGATGCCAGAACTGTGCACTTTATCACAAATGGACACATTTAATGAGAAATATAGCACTGCTGAGTGATTGAAATAATAATCTGAAATACGTTATCACATTTCAACATCGCACTACAGCATCCTTCAAGTGTAGAGCTGTTTAATTCATTGCCACCTCCCTTCCAGGAATGCACATGCAGTGCACAATTCTGTTTTTCTCTCCAAGGGAATTTCTGTTTGCCTCCATTACCTCGTTAATTTTCATCATCATCATCATTTTCTGTGATCTGGTGTTTGATCAGGTTCCTCCTACCCCTTTCCCTGTCGCTGTATACTTGATTAAAGCCTGTGAGATCACTAATATTTTCCAAGTCTGACAATAGGTCATACAGCTGCAGTGTTAATACTCTCCGCATATACAGCCTGGCCTACCGATTGTTTCCTGTTTTTTAGCTATTTTGTTTCTTTACAACACCATCTTCCCCGGAGTATTACAGATTCAATTCCCATTTGTCCAAAGGATGGCATGATTGACAAAAAGTACAACGGACCAGCACTTTTACAAAACAGGAAATTTCACTGAGAGGTCAATAGTTCTTAATCTAACTTAATGAGACACAAGGGATAAATTTTGAAAAGAATGTAGTTTAAGTGTACATCAACATTTCTGGTTTCAAGTCATTGCCACTTTTCAGCATGCTAAGAATAAAAAGCAAGGGGACCGCAGACACTGGAAATCAGGAAAAAAAACTGTTGAAGTGTAAAGAGCACCAGAGTTATCACTCGCTTATCTTCAGCACATCATATTTGATGAGAGAATTTCTTTTTCTATTCAAAAAGGAGCAAATTATGATGGCCTCTTGTGATTTTATGAGAAGTCCTCTTACTAAAGTTGTGAGAAAAATCAGAAAGACTTCCTACAAATACAACGAAGGCCGTGCTCTACACTTAATAAAGCATAGACAAATATTGCTTATAACAAGTGAAGCAACTTGCATTTCTATAAACTGTTCACCACTGTTTATATTCTGCAACATTCTGAAGACTACTCACTGTTGTAAAAGTGAACAAAAGCAGCAGTTTACCCACGACATGACTCGATGACCAGGAATGGGTTTTAGTGGTTCGAAGAGAAAAAGGTTAAACAGATCATCGCTTCTCTTCCTATAAATTGTAACATAGATCTCTTACATCCAGCTCTGCAAGCAGATGCAACCTTAGTTCAATAGATCAAAAGGAAGCACCTCTGATACTGTAGCATTCCCTCAAACAACACTAGTGGTAGTCCTAAATACGTGTGCCCATTCCTGGAATGAGATGAGACAGCTATCGTGGATGGTTCCTTGGCTATGATTTGGACTGTTGGCCAGTTCGTGAACAGCTTACTGGCCTGTTTCATTGCAACTGGTCACATGGTCAATTTCCACCAGAACGTAGGAGTTAAACTCCCCTCACGTACCACAAATCTAAAACAAAATAAACCTGAAAGTAAAAGATCATTTAGTTTCCATTATCTCACTTTCTCACCTCACCGAGAAGTAGGCAGGATTCTTGCCCTTAAAAGCTATTATGCATCCAGCTTGCACAAAGTGCATTAACAGAGAAATGAGTGTGTATGTTTCTGCACACGCACACACAAAGGGAATGGAGGTACTTCTCCTACACAGCGCACCTCAACTAACAGCGTGAGCATTCTCCACACATAGAATTGAGGGCACCAACATGGACCCATCACAAAAAGTGATGCCCACCGAAATAACCCCACACAGGCCAGTATCCAGTCACCAAGTCACCCTTTATTTACACGTATATAGTACTTGACACTGGTCCGGCTTCCTCCGAGGCCAGCTGTCAGAGTGAGAAGAACCTCTGAGACTCCTGTTCTTATCTGTCAGCCAGACTCCCTGATTGGCCCAAGTTAACAACCCCGATCAGGGAACTCATACTCTATGATGGCCAGCTGACTGACCTCGTTACAATCAGTACACCCACATTAATCATTTTCAATCAGAATAATAAAACAGTAAAACCAAGTATCAATGAATTTGTTAATCCACACTCCAAGGAATTCCTATCAAACAGATATTGCAAGCAACAGAACACAGTGACATGATTTCTCTGTTTTCATTACACAATGTGCGACTAGAAGAGTACTTCACTGATCCCCAGGTTGGAACTCCCCAACACAGTCAGGCAGCAAACAAGATGTGCTACCCACACTGTGGAGACAGACTAAAAGCATTTAGGAACAGTTTTTCTGGGCTAAAACATTTTGCCACTGGATGCGAGTGGATCTTTCTCCTGCCCAAAGCACAGACAGTGCCAAGTCAATGGAAGTGCCTCTCCTGTGACAATCTGCAAGGGGCAATGTGGGGGGTATGCAGGACAGACACATGGCATGAGGAGAGCCTCTGAAGGAGTCTCCCCTTTACTCAGAGGAACTCTACCAGCTTCAATCCTCATCAGCTTTTAATTTAATGAAGGCCCCCAAAGGTCCATCCATGTAGAGGCACCCTCTTGGTCAGTGACTGGTCTCAACAGTGCCCAACGACCCCAGTGAGACTGCTAGTTTTCCAGAGCTGACGCAACCCTTAATAGGACAGTGAACATGGAAGCAAGGCTGCCTCCAGAGAAATGCACCAATGGCCTTACTTATAACAAGTGAGGGCTTGGGAACCCCATGCAAATAGGCCTGATCTGGGAGTCATTAAGCTTGTGGTAAAATCCAGCCCCTAGTCCTTAACTGATCCAGGTCACTGCAACTGGAAAACTACTCAGGATTCCAACCCTGGAGTTGTATCTAAAGATCCCTGCTAGAAGAACATGTGGATGAATTTTGGGTGTGGGAAAACAAAGCTCAAGCATGATCCACCTCTCATTGTGGCAATCTTATCCATCCCAGCTACTGATCGATAGTAGCAGAGATTGATTGATCCTCAGAGTCATACCTAGCACAGTCAGAGATTGGAGAAAATCAGATACCTTTAGAAACAGCAGGGTCCAATTTTACAAAAAACTTCAAGACAACACATGAAAATCTTGAGCTACAATTAGTAATTTTGGCTAACAACACAACTCTATGCAGAGTTCACTAATGAGCATTAATATAACACTCTAACCTAGTAGAGTCACTTGCTTATCCTGTATATCATCAGGTTCCCTCCCCTAGCTCTCACGCCCTCAATCCCACATCCCATCTCAATGAATAGCAGTCCGATTCCCTTTTAAAGCTGCAAGCAATTTGATAGAAGGCTCAGCAATTACCTGGGTGGGAGAAGCTAAACCATTCAGAAACATCAAGTGCATGAAATATATAGGCATTCTCTTGATTAGCACTCTGCCACTGGACTGAATGGCCAACATTAGACAGACTCTGCACAATCCACTCGACCTACAAGGCACACTGCAGAAAGTCACCAATGTTACCTTGACAGTATTTCTCTCAGGTCACTTCGACAGATCAAATCACAAGTTCTGCTTTTTCAATCTGGCATCAGAAACCCAACACCGGGATCATTTCAGGATCCCAACCCTGTGCTCCCATCAGTGAAGCAACACCATGCTTAAATGGCAAGGCCCTTAATTGGGCCAGATCCACACCCAGCTTCAGGTGCCACCAAAAGGCAGGAATATATTCTGGAGGGAGATTTTCAAAGGCAGGTGGAAGCTGTGACTAGGCTTGCCATTGTCTGAAGCAGGCATTCAGCAGCTTGAAGGGCCAGGTAAGAGTCCAAATGATCACTCATCAGCACTTCATCCACTCTATTCAAGCAACGGCAGCTTTGTGTCACGATGTGAGATCTATTCTTCTATGGCACAAGATTGCAAATCAGCAGGTCTGATCAATAATATTTCCTGAACAGAATTCTGACAGCTGAGTCTTAACGTGCTGCAGACCATGCGCTCTTCTGATTTTTTTTACCTTTAAAAATTTGATTCAGTTCCTCTCTGGCTGCTTTGCGAGCTCTTCTACATGCTGAACAATTAGGTCAATCAGAGTCATGCAGGTTCCTGGCTCTTGACCAACGTCTTCTCCTTAAAAAATTTTGTGAATCAGGTTGGTGGTGGGGGTGGTTTGGAAAAATGGCACACACTCTGGGAGGGCTAGCTTCAACAATGATACACTGTCTTAAGTTTGAAAGACATCAGAACTGTAGGATCACCACCACCAAAAGGACTTCAACAACTCAAAGAAAAAGAGTCTGGCACACTTTTGCCAGGCAAGCAGTAACTGCCTGCAGGTAATTCTAAACAAGTGGCACATTCAGGTTTTACTTTTTAAAAATGATTAACTTCTCGGGGGGAAATAAAATCTTAGTCTTATCTCTAAATCTTACTTGAGCTTCAGGAACATTCTGCTCATGTATTCATAATTCAAGGTAAATGCATTGCTTACTTCAAACTTAATAGCATTTTGCATTATTTTAAAGATCATCCTTCCTTTCAGTCTCCTTTCTTCAAATGCAAATATTTTCACCCAATTGAATTTATCTTCTCATGAGTTCTACAAACTTGCCAGTGCTCTTGTACTTGTGCTAAAAAGCCTTAGGGCCCTGTCACATTTTGTGAACATATACTGGCCTCCCATCATCATAACCCAGATATCCGCTGGGGAAATGAGATGTTGATAACCAACAGAAAATTTAGAGAAGCAGAAGTCACCTTAATACAGTTAGGCTGAAGTTGTCCAATAAAATTTCAGGAAATTCAGGGCTTTAATTTAAGTTTCAATACATAAATCAACTTCAAACGAAGAGCAAACACCAGCAACTAGAGCAAATGGCCACATAACATTCTTCTTCAAATCAAGCAATATTTCTATGACAATTATGTGGTTTGCTGTATGAAGCTGAATAAACAATAGTTTCTGATTTTGTACCAGTGGAATTTACAATTAATCTAGGCTTGGAGTGAAGAGCTATTTTAATCGCAGCAATGGTAAACTGACAAAGTACACAAAACAGGCATTTGAGTCATGTTAGTCACAGCGATTTTGCAAATTATAGTACCAAATAGCTGTAACAATAGTAGCGTGGACTCAAGAACATAGGCTGAAAGTGCTTGCATTGAGCACCATTTAGATTTTGTTGCTTTCTTTAGGTTAACTCTGATAGGTGTCAGCTATGCTTCACCTGGTAGCACCCATTTCAGAGTCAGAAGGTTGTGGGGATATATCCCACTCTGGGGCTTGCAAACAAAATTCTGTGTGATGTTCCAGTATAATACTGAAAGAATGCAGTATTCTCTTTCAAAAGAGACATCAAACAAAGCTCTTACCAATATTCATAGGTGAACTTCTAAGATTGCATAGCTCTGTTTTGATTCACAATTCCCACAAGATGATTATGATCACACTTTAAAAGCATTTCATTGCCTAGAAAAAGAACTTTGG